AGACAAACATGGTAATTGATCCTACCTTCGCTACGCCTCCCATTGGCTAATCAGCATGATATGCAAATTAACTGCCAACAAAGATGGTGGTTAATTTGCATACTACGGGCAGGGCAGGACAGCACAGCCGCCAGCGTGAGCCGCCATCCCGGGCCGCAGGCCAGCTCCAGAAGCCCCAGAAGTCACCCAGAAGCCAGTGATTGGGGGGAGATGGGGGTCCCCTGCCCAAGCCTGACACCTCTGGCGGAGGCGTCAGGCCTGGGCAAGGGGCCGATCAGGTGATCGGAGGGTGATGGGGGTCTATGCCTGAGGGCTCCCAGTATGGGAGAGGGGGCAGGCTGGGCTGAGGGACACTCCCCCCCCCCACACCCAGTGCACGAATTTCATGCACCGGGCCCCTAGTTATATAGGATAGCTAAGATCTGGAAAAAGTGCCCATCAATAGATGAGAGGATAAAAAAGCTGTGGCAATGGAATACTATGCAGCTGCAAAAGAAGCTCTTACCCTTTGGAACAGAATGGCTGGACCTGGACAGTGTTATGCTGAGTGAAATAAGCCAGTCAGAGAAAGACAAGTATCACATCATCTCACTCATATGTGGAATCTAATGAACCAAATAAACTGATGAGCAAAATTGGTCCAGAGGCATGGATGCATGGATCAGACTGACAGATCTCAGAGGGGAGGCGGGTGGGGGAACTGAACCAAAGAACTTATATACAGACTAGCGGCCTGGTGCACGAAATTCATGCATGGGGGGAGGGTGTCCCTCAGCCCGGCCTGCACCCTCTCCAATCTGGGACCCCTTGGGGGATGTCTGACTACCAGGGGATGTCCCTGTAGGATCAGGCCTAAACTGGCAGGTGGTCATCCCTTTCACAATCTGGGACCACTGGCTCCTAACCGCTCACCTGCCTGCCTGCCCAATTGTCCCTAACCACTCTGCCTGCCAGCCTGCTCACCCCCAATTGCCCCCCCAGGCTGGCCTGATCACCCCTAAATGCCCTCTCCTGCTGGCCTCATGGCCCCCAAATGCCCTCCCCAGCCAGAGGCCCTCCGCAGCTGGGAGCAGAATGCTTGCCTCGTTGCCAGG